CCTCGCGCGCCGCCGGCGCCGCCCCGAGAGCGCAGGGTGCTGGCCAGCGCTAGTGGTGCTGAAAGGCGCCGGCGGCGCCGCTTAAATAGGACCATTGCCATGTGATGGGCTACGCCAGGAGCGGCCGGGCCTCTCAATAGGGTTTTTGTGCCTTTTCTCTTGGCATTCACTCTGCACGCTTCCTCATTATTTCACTTGTTAACTAAATGAACTGCATAATGTACTCTATTCTTGTCAACCCCACCCACGCCGTAACAGGCGCCCTCGCCCCCTCCTCTCCCTTTTGCGGGTTTATTTTCTCATTCTCCCGCGATTTAATATTCTTTTCTTTCTCTTTATTCCTTACTCCCCTTTGGCTTTGCATTGGCGATCGGCCTATTTATCTTATTGATTTTGCACCTCGCCGCCTCGCGTCCACAGATCCTCGAGGGCGCACCGCCCCCCCCCTCCCCCGGCTGTCCCGGCCCCTTCCTTTTTGTCCTTTTCCTGCTTCCCCCCTCCCGCTTCCAGCCTGTTCTCCCAGCTCGGCTCTACCCCGCGAGCGAGCGTCCCTGCAGCCGGCCTCCGATTTCCACCTGTGGAATCCCTTCCTCCTCCCCCTGTGTCGGGAGCAGGGGGACCGGGGTTCCTGGGCAGGAGGTGCCCTTGAAGACGGAGAATAAGGGCCTGCTATTTCTCAGGCATCGCGAGCCCCTCCGCCGAATCTGTTTCTCAAAAGACCTTAACTTTCCTGCCGCCTCCACGCCCAGCCTTTGTTCCGCAGACCCCGGCCAGCTAGTCCCTTCCTTCAAGCGACAGGGCCCTGGATGTTTCCAAAAAGAGGGAAAGTAGAGAAAAAAGAGGAAAACCGTCTTTGAGAGTCACGCAGAGGCAGGGAATGGGGAAATGAGCGCCGAGGCCGTGCGCACCGAGGTCTCACATCCCACCGCGCGTGGCCCCTCTCTCCCGCGCGCACCTCGAGGGCGCCGTCTCCACGCGCGCACACCCTGGGGGCTTGGAAACCATTGCCTTCCCACAGTTGGGAGCGCAGCGAAGGGCGCTTGTCTGTCCAGCTGCGGTGGCCCTCGCCCACCCTGACCGGGCTCCCCTCCGTCCAGGACCCGGCTCCTTCCTCCCACCGCGTCACTGGCTTCTTTCTGGTCACACAATGGTTAAACAACTTCAAACGCCAGGAGCTGTGTACACAGCCTCAGCTTTTAACGCCGTCCTCCGTCCTCAGGCTCAACGCTGTTTCCACCAGGAGCTTTTTCCATACAATGGAAAATTAGCATAAATATTTCGAATTTACAGCCTGGGGACTTTTCGCGAGAGACATTTACTTTCGATTTTATTGGAGCCAAATCGCTGCGGTCCCTTGCTCCAGCCTTGCATGGAATTGTGAGAAATACAGGAAGCTTTCCAAAGGGGGTGGGGATCCGAGCGCAGGAGGAAGGCTGCCCGAATCCCAAGCGCCTGCGTGGGGCTTCCATCGCGGCTGACATCTTTGCAAGAACAACGGAAACAAATTATAATTGTTTAAAAAGCAAAGAGAATTTGTTGTAAGGAAGGTTGGGAGGGGTGCTTCCGTAGCAGCGGGGAAATAACCTAGCTGGAGGAAGGGTTCAATGTTTCCTTGACTGTTTGGTAAGGGGGTGCCCCCCACGCCGTGGCCTCCGCCCCGGGGCTCCTTCGAACCATCCGGAACGCCGCAAGGCAGCCTCATTCTCCTTTTAGTTGCTGTCTGTGAAGTCTGGGCTGGGTCGCTGAGAGCGAGGCCAGAGCTGGGACCTGGGCCGAGAGAGGAGCTCCCTGCTGGGCCGAGGCGTGTTGGAGCGAGCGGGTGCCCACGGGGCCCGGGGCCGGAGGGGACGGCGCTGTGCCCACCTGGTCGCCCGCGAGCAGCAGTGCGGTGCCGAGCGCTCCTGGGGAGGAAAGGGTTAAGAGCCCCCCGACTAGAGCAAGGCCAAAGCTACTGGGAAAGAATATCGGACGGGGAAAATAACCAGTTTTTTTTCCCCTCTCCCTCCAGCCTCTGGACTTTATTGAATGTCATTGAAGAAAGTTTTGAATGCCAGATAAAGAGAGGCGAATTAAAGTGTGTGACAGCGGAGGATAAGCAAACACAAAGAGAACTCTGTCACACTTTGGGGCAAAATCCGTGGGCTTTTTACCAAGTCTCTTCGCTATGATTGAATTAAGTAATAGGAAAACATTTTCTTTCAGTTTAGAGCCACTAGACAAAAACTTCAAAGCGAATAACAGTTTTTAATGTGCGACCCCACAATGGATCTGGTTTTGTGCTGAAATGTTTAAATGGTTTGTTGTGCAACTCTGCGCGGGAGAGACCCATGCCCGAGCGAAACGGCATCCCTGAGTGTTTTCGGGCTGTCTGCGAGGAACGCTCACTTAATCCGCCCGCTGGGCCGGGCGGGCTGAGCCGGGCGGGCTGAGCCGGGATGCCGGCTCCCCGCTCCGAGCAGGCCGGGGCGGCCGGGAGCACCCAGAAGCGTGGCCGTCTCGGGACCGAAAGGTCCTGCGCCCACAGAAAGAGGGACCCAGGGCCGCCCCGGCTCCGCAGACCCAGGGCCCGGGGTAGGGGCTAAGACCCGCCTGGCTTCCGGGGGCCACTCTCCGGGTTTGCTCGGTCGGCCCCGCTGCTTCTCGGTTCAGGTCGCCTCCCAGGGCGAGCTCCAGCCGGGTTTGAACTTTGCTCCCCCAGCAAACGCTAGCCAGGGCGGGGCGAGTGGGAGAAGGCGGCGGGATTAGCCTGACAGCCCGACAGAGGGCCCCCTGGCAGCCCCTCGGCGCCGGCAGGCTCTGGGCCCCGAGCTGGTTTTCAAGTGTCCATCAGGGATAGTTCAACGCAGAATAATTTCTGTTGGCCCGGGCTTTTCTTCTCCTTCTATACTGCGTTCTTCCTTCTCCTGTTGGTAGCGTGAACACACCATTCTTCTTCCAGAATTGGGTCTAAGACACTTGGGCAAAAATTTCCCAAACTGGGGTGGTGGTAATGCCTAACTCCCTCACTTCCTTGGTATTTTTCTTCAAATGCCACTTTCCTGTCCTTCTCAACGAGGCCGAAGACCTTACTTAGAACCCCCTCATACACACACACAATACCTCCTGCCTGGTTCCTGGCTTTGTAAGGACCAAGTTTCAGAGATCATTTATTTTCTTTGCATTTATTTTCTTTTCCCCATCTCCGAAATACATGCTCTGGGAAACCCAAGGTCTGGTCTATCGTGTGCATTGTTGTGTACCAAATCAGAAAAGTTCCTGGCACATAGTAGGTGGGCAGTATACATTTATTGGGTGAATAAATAAATGAGAGCAAGCGCTGACTCAGGCAGGGGCATGGCCAGGATGACTTCCGGATGTGTCTGCTTAGTACACTCAGACGTGGAGCCGCCAGAAGACGCAACTGACCCAGTGAGACTCTACAGGTCAAGGGAGATCTGAATCTCTCCCAGCCTCTCTTCACCTCTCATGCCTGGACCATCAGAAGAGCTTCATGTTTGTTGACTGGATGGTGAGCATGTAAGCCATAATCTGCGGGTCCCCAGCTTCCAAGGCAGGTGCTCACAGAGACAAGATGGTGCCATCAAGGCCACCGTAGCGTCCTGCTCTGCAGAAATTGGATGAACCTCTTGGTGGCCCAAGGCTGGGGGTGGTCATGAAGGCCTTTCATGGTGAGTAAGAGGGTTGGGAAGAGGAAGAAATGTGGCATATGTACTAAAATCATCAGCAACCATTTCTACTTTTTTCTGTCTTATGGAAATAGAGTGGAAATTCTCACTGGAAAGAAAGGAATTGCTTCTCTGACCAGAGCCAGGCCACAGCAGGGCCAACAGCATCAGCCTGCAAGCGTATTTACCGAATTATTGAATGAACAAAGGCAAGGAAAGAGGCACGGAGAAGATTACAATGGTTCAAAAAATAGATGAGGAGCACCTGAATTGTTGTAGGGACAACAGGAATAGAACAAAGAAAAATTGAGAGAACTCCATGTGTAGGACTGGTTAGGGATGTCTGTATGTGCAAGACTTAGAGGCCAAGAGTATGAAAGAGGGAGGGGGAGAGAGAGAGACAGAGAGAGAGAGAGAGAGAGAGAGAGAGATCAAGCATACTCATGACCACCTGGTAGCTTGTTTGAAAATGTGGGTGGTGGGTGATAGTAGAGGCAGAGGAGGAACTTAGTGGTAGGAGTACTTTTGCTTTGGGGTGTACAAAATGTTGTTATACTTCAATCTATTGCACTATAATCTTTAATCTTCAGAACATTCTGCGGATGTCCCACAGGTAGATGATAATAAGAGTCTAGAGTTGAGTAGCAAGATAAGAGATGGACAGAAAGAGAGTAGAATTTGTATGTGCAAAAAAATGATGGTATTAGTCTAAAGATGAATGGGATGATTCTTAAAAGGGGATGCAGAGAAAAAGCCAGTAGATGCATCCCTGGGAATTACCCATGTTTAAGGAGACAGTGGAAGGAGGACTCCCTGCAAGCCAAATAAGACAATGAGATATAGAAAGAAATGAGCATGGCAGGAGAAAATGGAAAGTGGATAGATACACCAGGCCAGTGCACCCAGGAAGGGCTACCAGGTTTAGCAAATAAAACACAGGCTACATGGTGGCTCTGAAGGATGTGACTCAGTGTGTGCAGCCCTCCCCTAGCATGAGGAGAGGTCTAGGTTCAATCCATAATGCCATGGTACATAGAAATAAACCTAGTGAAGTTATGATTTCCAACAACCCATGGAAATTTTTCTACTCAACAGTGACTTCTTGTGCACCTGAAACTCAAAGCTACCTGGTGCCCTGTGTTTTCATCTGG